CCAGCTGGTACTCTGCACATTGCAATGTCCACGGAGCCACCAGGGACCAAAGCCACTGAGCACCTTACAGAATCAGGCTCACCCATCCTAGGGGAAGGGCTCTGCAGTGCTTCCTTCTGCAGGGGCTGCCCCAGCCAAAGCACCAGGCTATCACCAGAGGGAGCAGCAACCAAGAATAAAGACCCCTATTTTTCGTTGTTTCCTTTTGAACATACAACACAGTAAGAATGTCTTTTTTTGAATCACATTTTTTATTAGACGAACATGGTTTTAATATATAATGTGTAAACAGCCTAGGATGCAACATGCTCCCTCCCCCACTGAGTTACAAAACACCGACGCCGTGACGGTGAACACCAGCTCTGCGTTTGCGACCTCGCAGGGATGTTACAGATGGCCGGGAGTGGAAGCTTTGCACACAGGTGGGTCTACACAGGACAGGACGAAGCACATTAGGAAGAAGTGAAGAATAGGAAGAAGGGAGTAAGCCAGATCTGCCCTGGCTGAAGGACTGCTCTCAAGAAGCTGTTGTCCATATCCCCTCCCAAATTCCTTAGGGAGCAAGAGGGTGAAGGACAGGCCATGATGCAGCTGGGGTCCCGTGGAGAGCGGTGCTGTGTGGTTTCACACACGGCACTGCCAGCCAAGGGCCCCTGTGAGAACGGCTGCTCAGCGTGCCGTCAACAAGCCGTGGGCCATTCTGCTCCTGTGCTCTGTGCAGGGCAAACATGCGGGGCTCCCTCCTCCTCCTCCCACTGCTCGCGCCAAGATCTAGTGAAATCAGTGGACAAGTCACTGAAGACTAATGGGATTTGGCACTTTCCTGGTGATGACCCCGCTCTTGCACTCCTGTGAAGTGCCACAAGGCACTGCCTAAAATTTCAGGGTCCTACTTCCGAATGATAGTATTCCCAGAACTGGACTCCCTAAATAAATGGCCTGATGCGGGGACGGGGCAGGGAGGGACAACCAAAACATCCACTGAGAGCTTGGTAGCTCCTCTTCATTTCAGTGACAGCGCTTGGGGTGCCCAACACTTGAATCGGATAGTTATTTTAAAGTGTAAACATGGATTTAGGGGCTTTACTCCAGGTCTAATTCCCTTGGAAAGTTTGATTCTAGACAGTCAACAAAAAGGAAAAGGAAAAAAAAAGAGAAAGCCACACTAAGAAAAATCAAGAGTTCAGAAGACTCATTAAAAACTGATTCAACCTTAGAAAGCATGCGTCTTTTGACTCAGGCCTCAAAATCAAGTTACTGCATTATTAAAAAACAGCAATATAGAAACTACCCCTTTCTCAGTTCAAAGTTTAAGCACATCTAAGAAGACCCTACAGAAACAGTCCTCTTTCTGGCAAGGCACTATCCAGTAGTGTGTGGCACAAACAAAAACACCTCTATCAAAGCCACTGATACAGTGAATGTGCGTGTGCACGTCAGCCCACACAGCAACTTCAGCTAGGTACAAAGATTTACAGTTTAATTCACACTGCTCTCCCTTTTAAAAAGTGGGGTAGTTACAAGTATTAGCTAAAAACTGGGATCATTTGGTTCTCAAGCATACTTTTATATGCAAATATTTTAAACAGATTTAAGAATTTGCTATTTCTTTCAATAAATGGCTCTAGTTTCCACAGACCTTTTCAGTTACCTGATAGCTACATTTCATTATTACAAAACTGGTTTAAAAAATCCCAGATCATCTTGTGTAACAAACTAGAACTCTACTTGCTTTAATTACAAAAATAAGGCTGTCACACAACAGACCAAATTCACATTCAAGCAATATATATACTTTTCTTTTTTTAAACTAGCCACTTATAATTCAAAAGCACATATTCTAAGGGACTTACACTGCCAACCCATGCAAGCAAGCAGGATATCTTTGGAGCTAGTGCTGTCCTCCATACAACTGATTACACACACATGCGTGCTCCGAAATAAGCTAGGTTTACCTAACAGCTGTAACAGGACTAGCTCTCCATTGAATGGGAGGCTTCTATTCTACAATTATCAAAATTCAAGAGGAGTTTTGTGAAACTAATTTAATCCCTGGGGAAATCAGTGTGGTTTTGCCTTTCACATCAGTAAGCCTGGGATTTCGCCCAGGATTCCTCATGTGTATATACTTACACACTTAGCTAAGTTTTTCAAAACTGGGACTTCAGGCAGTTCTCAAAGTTTATAACATATCAAGTACATGATAAATCCAGGATGGCTTCTCTGTAATCAACTGCATAATTACGTAAATTTATATCTGTATTCATTTGCAAAGTTAAATATTTTTCTTTAACTTTCTTTTTTAGTAGTTCTATTGAACTTGGTGAAGTTAACAAAGTACAGCTCCACCTCATGTCACATTCCCTTCCTGTAGTGAGGTTCAAGTCTCACGAAAACATGGGATTAGTAACAAGAATGCCACGATAACTTACCGCAGACCACATAATTCTTAAAAACGCACATATAGATGTGTATATGCATGTTATCAACTCCCATTCAGGATTCCTCTAGAGAAGGTGCTGTAGCTAAGATTTTGACCTTTAAATACAACCATGGACTTGAAATCTGTGTGTGCTCTCGCTCCATCTAGCCCTTTAACTGAGCTGAGGAGGCACCAGAGGATCCAAAGAGAAACTGATTTATGAATGGACTGCTTCAACATCTCCTTTTTTAAAGCTTTCTTGCCTTTGTACTAGAGGGAAAAGCCATCAGCTGTAAGCAGTTTGTAGCTGAGACAACACAAACAGGAAGGTAACCTGTTCTTTACTCCAGCAACCGGTAGTCATGAACATTGTTCATGTCATACCTCTGTAGTCATGAGTAAGCCATTGTCCAAAATCTGAAAGGCTACAGTTCTCCTATTGTGCAGCATCTTCAGCAGGGACTTGGATGATGACCTAGCGCGCACACTCAGCAAATCCGTGAACGACACCTGAACCTGGTTCAGTGGTCGGTAACAGCTGGTAGAGCTTCAGTCCAGTGGCATCTCAATAACCTTGAGGACTGGGCCAACAGAAAGTTTGATGAGAACAAATAGAAAGTTCTGCCCTTGGGGGTGGTGAAGCATCAGTATGGGCTGGGAAGCGACTGACCGAGTAATACCCCTGCTGAAGGGACCTGGGGATTTCAGTGAACACCAGGCTGAACTTAAGCCAGCAATATACTCACGGCAAATAGGGGAAAGCATGCAGGGTGCTACTTCAGAAGTGTGGCCTGCAGGCTGAGGAAAGTTATTATCTCCCTCTGCTCAGCACCGGTGAGGCCGCATCCGAAATACTGGTTTGAGACCTCCCAGTTGAAGAGGGATGTGAACAAACTGGGAACAGTGGCCCTCCACCAAAGCAAAGTAGCCAGGGACCTAAAGCACACAGCCTGTGAAGAGAGGTTGAGGAAGCCAGGTTTGTTTAGTCTGGTAAGAAGAAGGCTAAGAAGTGATCTAATGGCAGCCTACAACTATCTTGAAGGCAATTACAAAAAAATGATGCCAATCTCTTCATGTGAACTCCAGAAAATGTAGCAAAGGTAACAGCTAAAAATTCAGCTCAGGACTTGAAGCTACATTACATGGAATAATCAGTACATTAAAAGAAAGTTTTCACTAGGAGAGTACTACAGCACTGGCACAGGTTACATAGAGGGTTATGAGATCTTCATCTCTGGGTATTTTTAACACTCGGCTAGACAAACCCATATCTGATCCGAGCTAGTGTTGGTGTTAGCCCTGATTTTGACAGTGCTGGACCAGATGATCTCCAGTTGTCCCTTCCAACTAATGTGTCAGATGCCGCGGTTACTGATTTTAACAGAACATGTCATTTGTTGCACAGACTATTGCTTTCCGACACTTTTTACAAGTTTGGCTTCCTTCAAGCCGTACAGTCTGATCCTTCAAGCCACACGGTCTGAGTGATGCTGTGATTACAAAGAAGCTTTCCCACATAACCGTTGTCTTTCATTTACCCAAAGATATAACAACATTTACTGTAATGGCACTACCCTGTCATTATGAAATCACTTGAGTAAAAGCTACATTACACCATAGCTGTTATTTTCATAGCCAGACTTGATTCAAAATGCATAATGCAATTTGACTTCTGTCTAGAACGCATTTTGTAATGGTTATTGGCAAGTCAGAGGCCTAAGTTCTGCTATGTCCACCAATGCAGTCCCACTGGAATAATCCTTCACTTCCTTTACTTGGCTCCTGTTCCTCGGCTAGGCTGACCGTTGTGGCCCCATCCAGCAAAGCACACGCTCAGCTGTCTCACTGTCTTTGAGGCACCTCGACATTTACACACCTGGGGATATAACCAGGACAACAGCTAGGTGAGTTAGGTGTGCTCTTGAACCGTGGTAGAGTGTTTAATCATCCATGGGACTGAGCCCTGGCTCTCAAAGTATCCCCCGGACTCTCACACGGCTAATGGTGGAGCTGTGTGTTATTGAAGGTAAACGCAAGGTTTTGGCAAAATTTCATTTTAAGACAGTCCAACTATAGAGCTCCAACTTTGGGTGTTAAGTTTTTATCAGTTAAGAGATAACTTAAAATTTTCATTAGCTATAAGACCTCTTCTTCTGAACCACCCAGTATTTTCCACCAAGTGCTTTGCTGCACATTTCACCTGCATTTGGAACAGGAACCCTGCCAAAATATTTCACTTTGGTACCTCCTCCATGTCAGCAACTGTTTTTAAACAGTCAGTTGCAATGTGCATCATTAGACAAATCAAGTTTTCATGAACAAGGTTAGCAGCCCATGTCTCTTACAATAAACATGATCTAGCGTAAACATCACAAAAAATAAATGTAGAGCAAAAATAGGGCAGTTGTTGGCTTAGACTGAGATCTTAAGATTGACACTTTTTACCTTCTGGATCATAGCCAGCACAAACATTCTAATAATCACCAGCACTTTAACTATCATGATGAGCTAACTTCAACTACAGTGGTTGGAAGAATTAAAAAAGGTAAGGAATCTGACGACATACGTATATCCACAAACAGAAGCCCTACATTTCCATTCCTTATTCTCAAACATATGTGTCTGTTAGAATATCAGCGTCAGTTGCAAAAGCAACCCAAAGACAAAAGACAAACATCAACAATGAGTGTTTTTAAAAAGGAAGATGAATAGCCCAGCCGTAATCCTGTTTCATATACGTGTTACTAACTCCACATTATTGGAGAGCACCGTCTCGTGGCAAGCAGACTACTACTAATGATGCATGTTTGCTCTATCACAGTGATCCATTAGAGAAGCTGTTGTGTGCTGAAGAACAGGGTCATTCATCCAAGAGATGTGCTTGTGGATACTTCAGATAGGCTTGCTAGGGTTCCGACTCCTAGTTAAAAGAAAAGAGAAAATAAAAGATTATTAATGCGATGAATACATTCTCACCACCTGTGTCTGCGGCCTTCACCTATACAGTGCCCCTAACCCCGGTCCACACAGCAGCTGAGGATGCATCACTCTGAAGTCCTACCAGACTGAAGCAGTGACCTGGCCAGGTTTACAGAGATGCTCCTCCAGGCCTACAACATGTTATTTCCCAGGAAAAGAACTGCACAGAAGCTGCCATTTCTGATTGCAGTAGGACGTCATCTTTTTCCTAGGACTAGTTCTTCAAGCTAGGAAGAGAGGCAGGCTGCCAAAATAACCTGTGTTTGCAGTTCCCTGCTGAGGTTCCCTCCCAATTCTGTCCTTCATGGGGTCCAGAAATAAATGAATTCCTGGCAGAAGAGGGACTCTACAGATACCTAAGAGCTACCATCCAGGCCTGAAACAGTACTACTGCCAAACACAGCTATATCTACAGTAGTCAGCAGAAGAAAAATCCTCCTGTATGCGTCTGATCTACTGCCAACAGGTGCACCATACAATCTCTCTGAACAAGTGTCCAGGCTTCCACATGGTAATAAAATCTCCTCTGTTACACTGCCCTCAACAGAAAGATGTTATCTGGCTTTGTGTTCTGACCTGTATATACATATTTGTTAAAACTGAATTCTTATCCAAAAAGTTGATATAACTCCATTTAAAAAAATTAATTAATGCCTAATGAATAAATGCTGTCCTGGTTGAGCCATTATGGCAGGTTGCCCCAGTAAGATGATGTTTTGTTGACAAGCTGCAAATATTCCAGTGATTAAAATCCTAGATCTGTCTCCTGTTACAATTAACTCAGTTGCTTTCAATTTAGACTGATAATGTGAAGGACAATGTATTCTTTAAACTTCATTTATTTGCTGTCTCACATTAACTCCTATGTGTATGCTTGGTTTCATTTAAAATGCTTTGCTTTTCATGGCAACTGTTTCAATTACCTCATCAGCATGAAGCTGATATAGACAAGGTATGGATCAGGGCAGTGGTACATCTGAACAAACAGAGTTCTTTCAATTCAAAGAAAATTCAATCTCAATATTTCAAGAATTCCATGAAAAGTCTGCAATACTACACTGACCTTTGATGTCAAAGTAGGTTTCAGTCCAAGAAAGGAGAAGACAGTGTTGTTCTCCTTTGATTCAAAAAAGCCATCATAATCCTAGAGAGAGAGAAAAAAGAGTCAACGTTTGTATTCGTGTTTTCTTGATTGATCTTGCCACACCATGTATTAGACTACAGGGTGATATGTAGTAATGCTCAGGAAAATAATGATACTTACCCATATTCTTCTACGCAAAGCTAAAAGCTATTTTAAACTGCAAGGATATCACCAACTACAGTGGCAAAGAAAAACACATGAATTCTCTAACTACAACACCTTTCACTACTTTATTTGACAGGAAAATATAAACATGGGCTTGCGTGAAAAGGAAGTCTATTGTGGGCAGATTTTAAAGGTATTTAAGTGCCTAACAACACAAATAAGTTTCTGACCAGGTTTCCAATTTGCATTTTAGCAAACAAAATGCTTCCTAACATGGAAACCTCCAAGAAGCAGTCCTAAGGCAGCTGAACTCCTTATTTCTTCTGTGGTGGAACAGAGACTTCATCACCATCGTCTCCTTTTGAAAGCAGCAATCATATCTCAGCCTTGGACAATCACATAGTTAAACATAAAATGTTTCCATAAAGAAACTTGTTATATAGAAAGATAAAATATAAGCTTCATTATCATGATTAAGTTCCTTTTAGGTTTCAGCTGTTTAAGATCAGGGTCTGATCTCAAAGTGCGACTTCTACTTTTACCGATTTGTTTATTGCATTGGACACCTGCTACTCTTCTATCATCAGATGAGGTGACAACATTCAGTTTTCAAGGGAAAAGGAGAAAAACAGCATAGTTTAGTGAATGGATTTGGGGTATGGCAAGAAGCCAAGAAGTTTCAGGTTCTCTCTGTGGTTTGACAAAGATTTCCTCTATGACCACTAGGAAACAATAAAGCACCCAGTTCAGACTCTTTTCCTCCACCACATAACTGCAAAATGGAAATATTAATCCTTACTTAACCACTTCCAACATGTAAAATACTCTGTAAACATCAGGAAATTTCAGGTATGTGCTCATCACTACACAGCAATTATCTCTAAATATCTAAGATTAGTAGTTATACTTAACTTGAAAGCATTCAACTGGAGAAATCCCCTTAAACATTGACTGTGCACATACATGCTTTCAATACGGAATAGGAACAGGCAGTCTCCATGCCTCCACATGCTTCCCATTTGTGTAACAGTCATTCCCAATACACCTGGCCCGTAAAGTCAGCACTTCTTTGGCTCCTAACCGCTAATCTCGTTACTTTTTGAGAGCTCATCTCTCATTGTTACAGTTTCAAGTCCTTTCCCTGAAACTGGACCTCAATTTTTGCCCAGCAGCAGCTCCTTTGCCCACTTGCCTCCTTCCACTCCTGCCTTCTCTTGAACCTGTAATTTCACAAACCACCCGACAATCACAGGGGACCATGTAAAGATAAACAGAAGCTCTAATTGAAAAGCAGAAATCTTTCCCTGACCTGGCTATTCTTGGGAGGCTGTCACAGGATGTGCAAAGATTAGGAACCTTCTTTCATCTTCCAACCAGAGTTTACTGATGCCTAGCCAATATCCACTTGTGCTCACATTTTGGTTTCTCAGATCCTAAGCAGGAAGCAAAAATGGTCTGGGCGAGCATTCTGCTTCCCAGTATTTCTCTGGGTCTTCACAATGCAGTGTGAACCCCTGAACAGCCCTTCATCCCACCTGCCAAACCCAGTTATAAGATATACCAAATGATATCCTTGTAGAAGGATGGCTGGTATTTTGTGAAATAACTTTGTAAGGCAAGTGTGTGCTTGTACATGAAATCCTTACTTTTCTTCATTCTCTTTTTTTCTCTCCACCAACGTAAAAGAAAAGGTTGTTTGGACAGAAAATACATAGTCATCATAGCAAGGATAATGTACCTCCCACGAGATCCATAATCATCCTGCAGATCTGCAGAATTTCTCTTACAACCTTTATGGTGCACTAGACAAAGATGCTTTACTAGCATTTCCATAATGATATACTGCTATACCAACGCAAACACAACTGTCCTAGCAAAGCGATACTTTGCAGTTGCATAATCACTCAAATACCCTCAGCCCACAAGAAACCATAGCCGCACAGAGGCATTTTCCCAGCCTAAATCTCTATACGAAAAGTATCGGCCCTGAAAGACCCAGAGAGGCCCGCAGGAGCGTATGACGGTCATCAGGCCTCAGACTTATTGGCTGACGTAAGTACAAAGAGTAAACCTTCTTAAGGTGGCTTTTTGTCATTGTCTTCTTAGAACATGCTATCTTGGTGTGCTGTAGACTAGGGCCATAAGTCAGTATTCCAGGACTAAGCTCTCTGCCTACTGATCCTTTCAGCTTTCATACATGTGTGCATATCTATGGATATACAGAGAGAAAGTGCATGCATTTCTTCTATCTGGTTTTCAGTTCCATGGTTTTCTCTATGTGCAAGACATAATTTCCAACGAGTACCATCTACTCACTTCACTCTATGGGAAGAGTCAAGTTCATTTGCTTTCACTGCCAGGGGAATGAAACACTTCAAGGAATAAAGGAATTCTGGAGCAAAGGAAGGTAGAATTTCCTGCATTGATCAGCATCGTAGACTGGAAAACAGACTTTGCAGACAGATGCTGCTTATAATTATGAGCACAGAACTATTACCATTACTGTTTAAAATGCTAACATATGAAGATATTAGACACAGTTTTAAGTTCCCTCACTGATAATTTTAGGTATGATCTGTCCTATCTAACTTTGAAATTAAACATATAACTAAACAGAGGAAACAGACACTTTTTCATCAATTTAAAAAATCCTAAAAAGTGATGAACTGATGTTAATTTCTGAATTAACATAAATTTATAATTAATAGCCAGAAAGTAAATCCAAATAAAACAGATCTTACAATTAAGCCATGGCATAAACTGAAACAGTACTGAAAGCAACCCCAACAATGCCATGGATTAAAAAGGGACAATGTAATCACTGAATACCTAGAGGAGTAATAAGTAATACTGAAGCTCCGCAGAAAGATGTTTGATTAAGCCCTTGACCGCTACGAATGAGACTCGAAAAACTGCATGGACGCTGTTAAACCCGAAAAAGGTCCAGTCTGACTCTACTAAAGCAGATTAAAAGTTGCGAGGGACACAAGCTATATAAGCAACCACATGTGAAGACAGTGCCTGATCTGACTGGGAAATAATCTTAATTTTCTCCACGGGGCTCATCTACAAGTGAGTCGCACTGTCTCTGGAGCTGAAGGTAGGGGAGCCATGGATGAGTACAACCCACAGTGAGAAGAACAAGGGCATCCCCCCGTTTAATATCAGGGCAGGTTTAAATTGCCTTAAGCTGTTCATTACAGCCCTGTAAACTATAAGCAGCCAACCTGCAGGCAGGCAGATACTGCGAGCATTTCTGCAGCAGCATAGCTCAAGATAGAGAGCATTTTTACTCCCTGCCATAAGCACCTGTTCCTCCTAAGCACACAGGCAGTTTCCATCAACCCATCAGAGACACCTCTTTGTCTCAACAGTTTGTCCAAGGAAGTCTTCCTGTTTGTTCAGGTGAGTCAGCATCTCTCATCACCATTTCCAAGTTCTGGGGTTCTCCTCAAGTGTCTTAATTCCAGTACTTCAATTAGCTCTAAAACCACCACTACTCTAACACCATGGTGTTTTCACTCTTTGTTAAATAATTGGAAAGAAAAAACAGGCAGGGAAGGATTCACAGTCTGAAAATAATGTCATAAGAAATAAGGCTGCATTCCTGGCTCTGACAATGACTTTGTGACTCAGCTCTGTAAAGTAATTTAAGACCTAATCATAAAAAGCTGCAAGTGTTAGTTACCAATTTTTACTTCCAGAAGTACCCAGGCCTGATTTAGTATGTTCTTTCCACATTGTTACAGATTCTCAAACCTGGATTCACCTACTGAAAAAATCGTGGAGGTTAAACAATGAGCTAAACTGAGTAAGTGTATGTTTGAAAGAGCACAAAACCCAGTGGATCAATTCATTTTGAAAGCAGCAGAATATTTAATAACCACAAGAGATTATCCACCAGAAGCAATCTCCCCAATGTTTTTTAATATCTGCATTACAAAACATATTAAAATGCTATTGACACTTTCTTACTTTCCTGGGGGATGAGGGGAAGAAGCATCATGCTTTTAGATAGAGTAGCTGTAAAATTTTAAATAAGAGACTTTTCCTACTAATCTCTGCAATGAAAATATATGATCTGAAAATATTCAAATGCAAAAAAAAATACTATAAAAATGCATACTAGTCCTATAAAAGTTGAAAGAAATCACTTTAGTATGGTAGTTTCTGAAGAGATTTTTGAGAAGCATGATCTCAAGGAACATGATCTCAAGGACTCAGCGGTTGTGCTTTGGCACGTGGTAGGAGTTCAAAGTGGGCATCCCTGGCTTCCCCTGTAATACAGGCAAGATAATAGATGTTCCAAAAACATCCTGCCTTTGACCTTACCTTTATAAGGAGAGAAAGTCTGTGCAGACTTGGGCCACTTGTAAAGATACTAAATCCATGGGTGAGGACATGAAAATTCTTGTCTCACATGAAGAACATCCTGCTGATACCAGCAGTAGATGCAGAGGCTGAAGAAGGAAAATGGTGCCAAGCTCAGTGGAAGCTGACAGCTTCATACACGGGCAAGACCCCAACTCGCTTGTCAGCCAGTGGGGTCCACTTGGAAAACCTCTGTGGGACACTCTGCCTCCCACAGAGGAAGGACACTGGTTTTGGCAAGGCAATGGTTCCTGCTTTCTGCACCAGGCTTCACTGTCAGTAGCAAGGTACTACAATCCCCTTGTCCCTGTCCCAAGCAGCTGTAGGAAGCCAGTGGGCGCTGCGGCTTTGCTGGGACCAGCTGAGCAGTGCTGTCCTGCCCCTGTGCAAGGAAGTGGCTCCCACTGACACTCTGGAGGCATTCAGAAAGCAGCTGTTCACCTAAAAATATACGAGCATGGAAAACTGCCACCCACTGCCCCATTTCAAATGGCAACTACGTGCACAAATATAATTTTGAATGT